CTTGCCAAATGACTCGGGGAACCTCCACCTTGCCTAGGCTCGGTTTCCTCAGGTGTGACCCGAGGGAGCTGCGTCTGCTTGCAGAGCTGGTCCAGTTCATGGTTGTTACTAATATTACTGGAGTTTCCGTGAGGCCCATGCTGGTAGCTGCAGGGCCCACTGTGGACACAAGTCCTGTACGTACATGGCAATGGCAATTCTTCCACATTGGGCTCTGGCTGGGTGAGGTCTGGGCCAGCCTCTTTTGTCCTTTGCTGCATAGGACCATCAGAACAGTCTTCTCCAATTTCTGCTTCCCCCGAGTGACTCTCCTGATGAAGAGCCTCTACTGGGTGCTATTGCCTATTCCATCCGGTCTGAATTTCCCATTCGATGTGATGTCTACGCATGCGCAGTGCTAACAATGTCCAGAAGGGAATGTGCATGTAAAGAAATGAGGCGTTTCTCCTCTTTAAAGAATCAGTAGGTCATATATGCCTTCAGTAGATTGCTAACAACACAGTGAAGTTGACAGTTTGCATAGGCACTTGAATCATAACGCTAACCACTTATATTGAGGTCTAATATGAAATGGAGCTGGCAAGAGATGGGGCAGAGAACTTTAGACCAGCCACTGCCCTCCCCTAGTGCATCCCATGTGCAGGGCTCTGCAGCCCCAGGCAGGTGCAGGGCAGTTCCCTGGGTCCCCGTCCTTCCTAGGTCATTGGCTCGGTTGTGCAAATGTGTCTCCAGACTGGCATGTGTCTCAAAGCTCTTGTAAACAGGGCTAGGAGCAAGAAAGGTGGAGACTGCCTATTTTCCCTATGGCACAAAAAGCTGGAATCTTTGAGGTTTGCTGTGGGTCTTGTTATATGTCGGTAGATGCTAACAATGACAAAATGCTAACCGTCCCAGCACCTAAGGCCAAGGGCATGAGCCTTGCCCACTGTCTCATGCCAGGTGGTGGCCACCATTAAGTTTTCTTCTCTCTTTTGAAATGGCTTTATTGAGATATAATTCTTATATCATTCAGTTCACTCACTTAAGGTGTACAATTTGATGGGTTTTGGCATATTATATTATTAATTAAAAAATTTGGTAAAATATATATAAAATAAAATTTGCCATTTTAACTATTTTTAAGCATACATTTCAGTGGCATTAATTACATTCTCAATGTTGTACAACCAACTCTTTCATCACCCCAAATAAAAACTCTGTAACTGTTAAGCAATAACTCCTTATTCCGCCTCCCTCCAGCCCCTGGTGACCACTATTCTACTTTTTGCCTCTGGGAATTTGCCTATTCTGGGCACATCATATAATTGGAATCATATATTATTTGTCATTTTGTGTCTGGCTGATTTCTTTTAGCATAATGTTTTGAGATTTATCCATGTTGTAGGATGTATGGAACCTTAATTCATTCTTATGGCCAAATAATATTGTGTTGTAGGTACCTAGCACATTTTGTTTATCCATTCTTCTGTTGATGGGCACTTGAGTTGTTTCCACCTTTTGGCTATTGTGAACAACGCTGTTATGAACGAGGATGTACAAATATCTCTTTGAGATCCTGCTTTCAATTCTTTTGACTATCCAGAGGTGAAACTGCTGGATCACGTGGTATTTGTAGGTTTAATTTTTTTGGGGAGCCACCACACTGTTTTCTATAGCATCTGCCCCATTTTACATTTCCACCAGCAAATGCACAAGCGTCCTAACTTCCTCACATTCTCACCGATGTTTGTTATTTTCTCTGTGTGTGTGTGTTGATAATGACTATCCTAACTGGTGGGAAGTAGTATCTCGTGGTTTTGATTTGCATTTCTTTAATAACTATCAGTGAGGAGCATCTTTTCATATGCTTATTGGCCATATGTATGTCTTTGGAGAAATGTCTATCAAGTCCTTTGAAATTTTTAAAATTAGATTGCTTATTTTATTGTTGTTGAGTCTTAAGACTTCTTTATATATACTGGATATCAATCCCTTATCAAATATGTGGCTTATAAATATTTTCTCCTATTCTTTGGGTTGCCTTTTTACTATTAACATTTTGATAGTGAAGTTTGTTGCACAAAAGTTTTAAATTCTCATTAAGTCTTATTTGTCTATTTTTTTCTCTTGTTGCTTGCACTTTTGGTGTCATATCCAAGAAATCGTTGCTGAATCCAATTTCATGAAGCTTGCTCCTGTGTTTTCTCCTATGAGTTGTAAAGTCTTATCTCTTATGTTTAGGTCTTTGACCCATTTTGAGTTTATTTTTGTATATGGTGTGAGGTAGGGGCACAATGTCATTCTTTTAGATGTGAATGCCATGTCAGGTTGTGGCTACTGTTAAGTCTTGACAACTAGGAATGAGAAGACTTGGGAAGTCGTATGTGTGGAGCCTACTGAATCTTTGTGAAGTGTTTCTGTTCAAGCTGGGCTGTGCCAGCCACCTTGTTTGACTCCAGTTACATGGAGACACACGTCATAAACTATTCTAAGGTTTTGTCACTCACATGTTTTCTGTCTTAATTCACATTACCCCCTGACTCTAGGGGCCATGGCCATGGGAGAAGAGTGAAGTCCTGGACACCAACATCCTTGTCTTTAAAAATATGTTGTTGATACTGGGACAGAGAATAGATCAGCAGTTGCCAAGGGCTGGGAGGGGGACACAAAGGGGCAGCACGAGGGGTTTTCTTGCCGAGTGATGAGACTGTCCTGATCTTGATTGTGGTGGTGGTTATGTGACTGCATGCAGTTGTCAAACCTTTAGAACTGCAACCCAAAATGATGACTTTTACTGGCTACGATTCAAAAAATAAGTAAAGTGTGCTGTTGAGAGGCAGTACAGTACAGCTGCGGTCCCCAACTGCCTCCCCCCCAGGGGCTGAAGACCAGTGCCAGTCTGTGGCCTGTTAGGAACCAGGCGGCAGCCGCTCCCTATCCACTTGTATCACCGTGTGAACTCCCCCACCAACGCCCCTGCCCCCTCTGCCTTGCCGAAAAGGTTGGGGGGCCCATGCTTCAGTACAGGGCTGAGGAGCCCTCTAGAGGCAGTCCTTGAGTTTAAGTCCTAGCTTCTCCTCTTCCCAGCTGAGTGACTTGGGCCTGCCTGCCTCAGTTTCCTTCCCTGTAAAAGGAGGGTGATTGTCCCTACTGCATAGAGTTGGGTGAGGATTAAGTGGTTCGGCCATAAAGCTCTGGAAAAGGTCGGTGTGTAGAAAGTGCCACCAGGGATCCCTGTTGTCCTAGGCAATTGCAGTCCCAGGGCGCGCATGTCTGTGGGGGTGAGAGGGAGGAGCCGAGGTCAGGGGGTCCACGTTGGAAAGTGCTCTGTCCTCAGTGGCCTTTCCTTGCTCACACCACACCGTGAGTACCGAGACCCGCTCCGGTGGGCTGCTCTGTCTGTCACAGCCTGTCTGGTTCTGGCCTGTCCGGGACAGGGGCCTGGCTGGTCCCTCGTGGCCGGCCGCAGCAGGCGCTGTGAGGCCGCAGCCCGCCCTGGCCCCGGCTGGCGGGCTCTTTCTGGAGTCGGTGCGCCCTCCCGTGGGGTCACGTGACCCGTCGGCAGCCACGAAGGGAGGCAGGGCAGGTGGGAAGAGCAGCCGCGAAAAGGGCACAATCTACGGTGGCCGGGTGGGGACAGGCCAGCTCTCCCGTCCTGACTTTCCTGGCTTTAGGGTCAGGAAGCGGCCCCCCTCGGCCCCCAGTGAGTCTGTGGTGCTCTTTCCTGGCCACGCTTCCCGAATGTACCCCTCCCTGCGGTCGGGAGCCTCGCCGGCCCTCCAGGCGACCCGCCCGCCGCCCGCCTGTATTTTGGGACGCGCTGGGCCCTGGGCTCCATCCGCCAACGCGTTTCCATCTGCTTCGCCTTCCAGAAATGACTGGGCTCTCGTGCCGGCTGGCCGACCGCCTCCTTCCAGTTCTTTTTGTGGTAACAGGTTTATTCCTTTTTAAATTCGTTTGCTGGCTTGGGAGGGAGGAGAGACGAGTGCGTGGTGAGCCTCACACCAAGAGCGGGCTCTTTTCAGACGGCAAATGCCAGGTCCCGGCGGCCGGTCGTCCGTGCCCACGCCAACGGCGCGGGTGGCAGCCTCGGGGGAGGCCCGGGGGCAGCGCAGGGCCGGGGGAGGCCGCTGCCTCTGCCTGTGCGGGCGGCCCTCGGCAGGAGGCACTGGGGGCCCTGGTCAGGGGTGGGGGCAGAAGGGGCAGCAAAGAGCCCCAGTTACCTTGAGAGCCACACTGGGCTGGCCTTGTCTCTGCGGGGCGGCCGCAGTGGCCGGTCTAGACCGGGTTCCGGAACTTTTGGCCAGACGCCAGGGCGTTCTCTTTTCTCCTCGCCAGGCTCCAAACTCGTGCATAAACCAATCGGATCAGGCGGAAAGTAAAAGGGTTAGGACTCTAACAGGCGGACCTCAGCCAGAACGTTTCCACCCAAGCCTTCATTCATCATAACAAAAGGAAGCAGTTCTCACGGTGGGAATCAGGGTTTTCTCTAAGGCCCTGGTGAATGTTTGGGGACCCACTGCTGTCTGCTGTGAAGTCTGTTATGCCGTGTTGGTACTGGAGGTGCAGTCCCAGGGCTGAGTCTCTGAGCAGCCTATGAGCCACTGCGTGTGGGCAGTCCCTGGGTCGGGGGAGTTCACTGTTCCCCACCTCGTACCCCCTTGCGAATGCCCTCCTGGGGGCAGGGGCACACTCAGTATGCCAGGCGGGTGCAGCGTGTCTGTACTGCAGACAGAAGGGTAGAGAGTGAGGGGGGGCAGGTGCCGAGGGCACAAACAGGCCGTTGCCTTGTTCCTGTAAGTTCTTTTTTTTACTTCCTTTTTAAATGAAATGATTGGCACTGGTGGCCTCCAAGGGTGATGTTTCCTTTTTCATTTGGAGCACAGAATGTCAGGCTTCCTCTCGTCCAACAGGGATCTTCAGATGGAGTGAGCACACGGAAGTCCCCCGGCAGAGCCCAGCACGGCCACCCTGGCCCTGAGTCTGGGACGTGCTCCTGCCATCCTGTGGCCACGGTCCCGGGAGCTCAGCCTGTCCTCCTGCTTGGCCTTCCTGCCATGACCAGACGGGGGTGGGGGGTGTCAGCAGGAAGTGGAATGAGGACACTGGCTCACTGATGGGGCCCCAGCCACTCCTGTCTCGCTGGTTGGACCTCCTTTTGTTCTCAGCCTCTCAATCTTGTGCTGACTTAAGACAACTTGCTAGACGAGGGTTTCTGGTACAACCTGATGCAGCCTGTCCCACACGGAGGCTGGTCCCTGATCACCCCAGCTCACAGGGTCCCATTGTTAACCAAATATTTCGCTCCATCCCAGCCAGGTGGGGCTGTTGGTGTGGGTCCCTGGTGCCTGTGAGCTCAAAGATCACACCACTGTCCTTCCTGATCTTCCCTGCTTTGGAGCACCTGCCTCTGGCAGAGGGTGGCCTGGGCTCTGCACGCTTCAGTGGGGGTTGGTTTTGTTTCAATTCGTTGTGCGCTGGTGAGCAGGAACAGCAGGGTCAGCTGCTCCACAGCTGGCTCTGCTCCTGGGGGGCCTGGCCCTTGCCCACAAACATAGTCCAGGTGTCTACACAGACACCCAGACACCGCAGTTGCTCTGGCCTCAGGAGGCCCCATCGTGGAAGGCTGGGGGTACCCAGTCTGCCCTTGGCAGCTGCTGCCATCCCCGAACCCTGAGGGAGGACACCTGCACGTGCTAAGCACAGGCTCTGCATCTACCTCCTCCCCGAGCTGGCTCAGCCCGGCAGTGCCACACGGCCCCGGGCAGCGTCCCGTGCTACCAGAGTGCCTTGCCCTCCAGCTCTGACAATCTAGGCATGGGAGAGGAGATGTAGCCAGGACCGAGTCCTTCTCCCAGAGGTCTGGGGCCAAACTGAAGGGCCTTCCGCTGCCCTGAGCCCACAGCAGAAACCTCTCCTGCTGGTCCCCACGGTCTGGGCTCCCTCCTCCCCCGAGGATGCTGCTGGTAATTGCCACCATCATGGGGGCAGAGGGACTGCACTACCAGACAAAGGAAGCCAACTTCACCTGCAGGCTGAGGGGCCCTGGCACTTGGGGGAGCCCAGCTTTGCTTCCCATCAAGTGTCCTGAGCTCCCAGCCCATGTCCAGCATGGAGCCACCTCCCTCCCCTTCCAACATGAGCTGCCTCTGCTGGACCTCAGATGGCCTGGGAGCCTGACCATTGTGTTCTGCTGGGGAACTTGGGCTGCAGGTGAGTATCGGGGTGACAACTGTGACCATTGTCTCCAGGGCCACTATGGGAGTGTATGTGTGTGTGGGGGGACGTGGGGGTGGACTTTACAAGTCCACTGAATGAAGTGGGCTTGTTGAGGGGCTCTGCTCTCTCTGTTCTAGGGATCCCAAAGTGCCCCTAGTCCTGGGGGCTCACGAGAGAACCTGCTCTGCTCCCCTCGTGCAGCCACTAGAGGACCCCCACGTTGCTGCCTGTGAAGGGCTCCTGGAGGCTTGCCCTGCTGTGTATCTCATTTCTTAGGGTGCAGCAGCTGAAACCTTCACCTTGCTCAGTGCTGGGCTTGCTCCCCTGAGAAATGTCTCAAAGCCTCGCTGGGATTCCTCATCACACTCCCCTTTCCTCTTCTGCTTCCCCTTCTTTTCCCTCCTCCTAATAGCCTGAGCCTCCGGAGGGGACTTGCCAAGGAAAGCACAGGGAGTGGAGCGAGGACGGAGCCACGTCTTCCTCCCGTCCGTCTGCCTGCCCTTGCTGCGCACCCGGCCACACTCTCCCCCTGGTGTCTCTGCATGGGGAGCAGCGGGGCCAGGGTGGGGCGGCTGGTGGCCAGGGCTCCAGGAGGGGCAGGGGAGCCCACCAGGAGGTGCACGTGGCCATGGGATGTCCAGGGAGCCCACGGAACTGAGCAGGAGATAGATGGGCTTCTCTTCAGCAGTCGAGGGCCTGGAGGGGGTTCTCACCACCATCGTCTGGGGACAGAGGGCATTAGAGCCAGGGCTGAGGACTGTCCCTCCTCCCTGCAGGATCCTGAGGGCATCACCCATGGGCTGGGGAGATGTCAGCGTCCAGCCATGGCTCGCTTGATGCCAACAACCCGTCACTAAAAGGAGTCTTCACGTCTGACAGCATGAACCAGGAATTTGCTCCCGTTACCGTAAATGAGAAAAGTGCTAATGCGTTACTTATTGATCCCAAACCTCCAAATAAGTCCCTAAAATGTATCTAAAACATCGTAAAATGCTTATTTGTAATTAATAACCCTAAACAAGCCTCCCAAATGTAGCTGAAACACAAGACCCTGTCTCCTTGTGAGGGATAACCTGTGGTGCTAGGATGTCCTGTGCTCAGCACACCCCTGCTTGGTCACCAGCCTGTGACTTCACCTCGCTGTGCTGCGGGGCTGACCCCACCACCCTGGGTGCCAGCACCATCAAATTGCCACAACAGCTGTAGGTACTGTTGCTGTGTGACAAATAACCCCAAACTGAGCAGCTGAGGACAATCACTTTGTTTTGCTCATGGCTTCTTTGAATCGGGGATTAGAGCAGGGCACGGGGGCAGTGGAGGGGTTGCTGGATTTTGCTCCATGATGTCGGAGCCTCCGCTGGGATACCTTAAGTCTGGCAGCTGGGGTCCTCACTCGCCTGGAGCCTGGCAGGACAGCTCATGGGCGGGGCACTTCAGGGCACCCACCAGAACACCCCCAGGGGGCTGTGCCTGTGGTTGGGCTTCCTCACAGCATGGCGGCTCAGCAGTCAGACTTCCCACACGGTGGCTCAGGGCTTCAAGAGTGAGTGCTCTAGTGAACGAGGCAGAAGCTACATCGGCTTTTAGGACCCAGTCTTAGAAGTCACGTCACACCACTCTGTCTTTTGGTTGAAGCAGTTATGAGAGCCAGGTCCAGAGAGGAGAGGCTTCTGAGTGGGAGGAGTTTCAGGGCTACATTGTAGAACAGCTCACGGCATGGAGAAGTTGTGTAGTCGTAAGCATCACATGTGATTCAGACATTCTGCCAATTGTGTTTGGAAAGTAACTCGGGACTTTTTTTTGCCCACCATTTTGTTAAAACTTGGGTATTGAATTTTTGGATGTAAAAATAAAATTTTGCTGTGTAAAATTAGCTGAGACCCACTAGGATGGCTATGATAAAAAAGATGACAAGTGCCGATGAGGGTGTGGAGCATTCAGTGTGCTCATAGCCTGTGGTGGGGATGGAAAAGGATGCAGCCACTTTGGAAACGGCTTGGTGGTTTCTCAAAAAAGTTAAACAGAGGGTTACCATAATATCCATCGATTCCCCTCTTAAGTGTGGATGTAAGAGAATCGACAATATGTGTTAGCACAAAAACTTGTACATGAAAGTTTGTAGCAGCATTATTCATAATATCCAAAAGGTGGAGACAGCTTAAATGTTCATCTGATGAATGGATGAACAAAATGTGAAATATTTATACAATGGAATGCAATTCTACCATAAAAGGGATGGCGTATTGATTTGTGCTCCAACATGGGTGAGTCTTGAGAACTTTATGCCAAGTGAAATAAGCCAGACACAAAGGCAGCATATTGTGTGATTCTTCTAATATGCAAATCCACAGATACTCGGAAAATGGCTTACTTGTTACCACGGGCTGAGGGAGGAAGGAGGGGTATAGAATTTCTTTCTGGGGTGATGAGAATGTTCTAGAATGCCAGATAGTTGTACTACCTTGTGAATAAACTAAAACCTTCTGAATTGTACACTTAAAAGGGTGAATTACATAGTAAATGAATGTATTATTATGTTTTAATAAGAATTTGTTTTAGAAAAAAGTATTTTAAAAATTCAGCTGAGAGATGTGTCCTTTCTCTGAATTCAGGACATTTAATATCCAGTGCCTTTCTGCTGGGGAGCTTTCTTCAGGGTGTGGCTGCAATACAGGGGTGCAGGCACCTCTCTGTCCCCACACCAGGGCTCTCTGGAGGAGGATGAGTTGAAGATGTGGCTGACACTGGTGGCCCAAGCAGACGTGTACCTCAAGCCCAATATGAATCTTGGGACCAGTCAGCCGGTCCCAGTGGGTGGGTGGGAAGAGGACGGGTTGACTGGGGGGCAGAAGTGAAGTCTCAGGGTCATGAAAGGACTGCGGTTTAGAAAGCACAGGGGCAGAACTATAGCCAATAAAGTGGCTGTTGTTTTAAGTCACTGAGTTTCAGGGTAGCTGAAACTCCCCACTCTGGTCTGTCCTCTACCCACCCGGTGGGCTGCGGTAGCTGATCCACCCCTGCTCTGGGCAGAGCCGGCCTTGGCACTGGGAGGAGTCAGTGCTGCAAGGTGAGAGAATGAGCCAGTGAAGCTGGCATGGAGAGACCGGCCGGTGGGTACCAGCAGGAGCGACCTGCGCCAAATGGCATCTCTGTGCCCGTGGGGTCTGGGCAGGGACAGTGTCCAGGCGGTGCTAATCTGCCCACTGTCCTGGGGATGCCTTGAAGCCCAGCTGACATCTTTTTCCCAACCATGGCTCAGTCTACAGAGTTGTGGGAAGTGTGGCCTGTCATAAAGCATGGTCTGTGTTGTCCTGTGCCTCACTGAATTGGCATCAAACTCAGCACCTGACACAAGTGGGCTTAAAAACTGGCTACGTGGAAGAGTGGGTGAGTGGGAGCCTTCTCCAGTGGCTTCTTCCATGGCTGGGTCCCCCCAGAACTCATCCCACAGACCCTGAGCCGTCCTCAGTACCCAGGCACCGGGCCAGCCCTGGAAGGCGCTGTGCACATGGGCGGGGCCCAGCGATGCTTGCTGCATGAGGACAGGGTGGGCAACGCAGAGCCCGAGTCTCTGTGGGAAACAGAAGGGCCATGGACTCCTTGGAGGCAGACGCAGCGTGAGCACGCACAGCGTAGAGCTGACGAGGAAAAACAACCTCTATTCCTCCTGGCAGGCACGGGGAGAGTCTGTGTCAACAATTCTGAGTTATTAATATTTAAAATTTAGCTATTGTGACCGAGACACATTTATAAACTTACCTGTCAATATCTCCTTCCATCTTCTGTTCCAATAATGACGAAGGGAGAGAGAATCAGAGGACCCTCCAGGTGGATCGGCAGTGACCTCCCGTCCGGGAAGAGGGCTATGGGTGTGGGGCCTGCAGGACAGAGGTAGCAGTACCTCCGGGTCGTTGGTCCCAGACTCTGTCCACCTGCAGCTGCTCCTGAGTCACCGTCCCCAGCCACCCACCAACACACTTCCACTCTGTTTGGTGAAAACTTGTGAGATCTGCAGGGCTGTTGAAATGTTTGTGTGTGTTTAATGTGCACAGATGCAGTGCACCCCCTCTCCCATCCCCTGTCTTTGCTCTTAACATGAGGCTCCTCAGGTCTGCCTTACCTGGGCATCTAGCATTGCTTTGTGCAGCTGTTTAGTGTTTTCATGTGCATTTAAGACATTCAGCTAATCTGAATAAGGTAATCCCTCCTTCTGATGGTGGCACGTGGGTAGTCCTGAATTCTGTCATGCTGCCTAAAAAACATCCCTCCACGTGTTTCCTCAGGACACCTGGGAGTGGGATCAGTGGGTCATTGCCACCGTTTCCCCCAGGTTTACCACTGAGTATTCCATAGTTACTTAGTCCCCGTGTGTCTGGGTCTGCCCCGGGCTCTGTAGTGTGTGCTGTTGATCAACCCATGCATTTGGGTACCGTGTTTGCACTTCATTCACTCACTCGTTCATACTTTTACTAAGGCATGGAGTTATTTTTGAATGTTTGGAAAGCAAAGTCCCCCCTACCCATCTCCCCCCGCCAGGGGCCTTCTGCAGGCAAAGACCTTAGCTTTGAGAGAGGGAGGGAGAGACAGAGACAGAGACAGAGACAGAGACAGAGAACAACTTTTTCTGAGGGAATAATTTTAGATCACAGAAGAGCTGCAAGGATAATACAGAGGATACATACATACCTCACTTGGTTTCTTCTATTGTTAATTGCCATGGTACACTTGTAAAACACTTGTCAGCCTTGGCCCGGATCAGATGACCCCCAACTGACCCCAGATGCGAGAATGAAGGATTGTTGTTTGAAGCCGCTCGCTTCTGGGAATGTTTTTAGGTGTGAAAACTAACTGGTATATTACTTTTGTAATCATTTGCTTTGGGTGCTTTTGTGGATGAGAGATATTCCTTGCCTGTGGTGGTGTGCAGATATTTCCCACAACCTCCTTTTGACTTTGCTCTTGTGTGTGTGCACGTGCAAGTGCACATTCGGTTGTTTCGAGAATCTGGGAGGCTTGGCTCTGAGCGCCCCTGCCAATACCAAAGTCCACAGGTGCTCGAGTCTCTTATAGAAAATGGCATAGTATTTGCATATAGCCTATGTATTTGCATAGTATTGCATAGTATTTGCATACATCCTCCCATATGCTGTATTATTATTTTTAAATATTAAGTGGGTACAAATGTTTTTGTTACATGGACACCTTTTATAATGCTCAAGTCGGGGTTTTTAGTGTATCCATCACCCAAAAAGTGTTCATTGTACCCAACAGGTAGGTTTTTACCCCCCCTTCCCCCTCCTTCGTGGTCTCCAATGACCTTTGCATCTCTCTGTGGTCCCACATACCGTAGGTCGTCTCTAGAGTACTTACGATACCTATGACAATGTCAATGTTGTGTAAATACTTGTTACACTGTATTTTTAACAATTTGTATTATTTTTATTGTTTTCTTTTAATAGTCTCCAGGCGTGGTTGTATCCATAGACACACGGATACAAAAGACCAACTGGATATATTTCTTGTGTCATTTTGTAGCCGAGTTTATGTCTATTGGTCTTTTCTGTTTTGAATTCATGTCATGCTTAGAAAAAGTTCTCTAGTCCCAGATAATAAAACTTTCACCCAAGTTTTCTCCCTGTGCTTTCATGATTTTATATTCCACCCTTAAGTGTTTGACCCATTTAGGATTTATTATGGTATAAAAGTGAGGTATGGACTCACTTTATGCAAATGAAAACTCGGATGACCCAACACCCGGTAGTTCCCATTTTACTCACCAACCTGAGAGATCTTCAGCGAATACTGCAGTGCTTCTTAACTGGGTGCACATAGGATCCGAGGGGGTGTTGCCCTGTCCCTCCTTGGGACACCCTCATTCTGAGCCAGGTTTGGGTGGGCATGTGCATTTTTTTAAAAATTTTAGATTCACAGTTGATTTTGGAGGTTTTGGAGATTGATGTCTCTGCTCCTGCCAGGCCTGCATGGTTCAGA